AGGGGCGAGGCAGAACGCGACGCGCTCGCGAGCGACTCGGCGGACGACGCAGCGCCCAGATGGCAGCAGCAACACAACCGACAGCGTCGGCCCGCCCGCCGGCCGCGCAGCGATAACCCGCTAAGTACGCCTTATTAGCCTTCGTTATGACGTCACGGGGGGCGACGGGCGATCCATTAAGCCGCGCGCTCTGGGCGCCTCGCCGCCCGCGGCAGACGGTGTCCGCTCCCCGGGGGAGCCGTGCCGTGCGGGTGGATGGTGGTGCCTGGCGAAGGGGTGAATCGTTCGTCTTCCGAGTCAAGGCGGAGTCATCGCACAGGCACGCGCGTGGGCAGAAACTGGTCGCGGGGACGATGCGGTAAGGTACATGTCTAACACGAAAAGTATACATGGCGTTTCAATTCTGGTTTGATTTTATTTATTTATTTTTTTATTGGCTGGGGACCGTACACTTTTTTTAAATGATTTTTTTTCTTTAAGTGTCCAGGGTCAAATGCCCAATAAAAACTGCAAGGGGAATTTAAGTAGAAATTGAAATATGGTTAGCTTCACAACAAAAAAAAAATCAACTACTAAATTATCAAATACTGTTCTAGGTGTAATCCTTAAAACATTCCCCATAATTCTTAATTTCACCAATGCCATTATCTATCTCATCTCAGAGCAAAAATAGACAGTGTTGTACTCCACTGTGTTATCATTCAGTAAAGATGCAAACGTAAGAAATTCTTAAATATTTAAACACGAATAACACAGACAAAAAGTCACAAAGCTAGAATAATTTCAATACTATGATTCCGAATACGGCAAGACAATCTGTTTGATAAACACAAGGGCTACAGCTGATACAGACCAAAATCTTGGTGCAAGTGTCAAACATTCAAATCCTGCTTTGCAACCTTCTTTTGTTGGGGTTGTCACACGAAGCCTTACATACTACAGAGTTCAGCCTGAGGACGAGTGAAGCAATGAGAAACAACTCACAGGGCTACAAAGAAAAACTGTCTTTGGTTGAAAAAAGGCCTGATAATGAAAATAAAATACTACGTAATAAATAGAAAAAAAGCATCACTTGTCTGAATGTCTCACACAGATAATTCCCCAAAACCATATATTAATATATTTTTCAAGGAAGGTAAAGTACGTTTCATACACAGTACTGACCACAATGATACTTGGATTAGAGGTGTGAAAGGTAGTTGTCAGGGTGAATGTATGCAAATGTTTGTATTAAGAACTCCAAAAATTACCATTTCCATAAAAATGTCTAAGTTTCCTAATCGTAGTTTCACTTCCGTGCATGCAAAAGATAACAAAAGATACGGTATTTGATTGATGGCCAATTATATTTCTAGTATTTCATTTTGTAATTTTTAAACATAATTTCAACTATAGTGTGTAAGTCTTTCTAACATATTTTTTGCTATGCTTACATTTCCATCGATTTTGTAGGATTTATTTTTGAAAATATCCTAAGAAGCAATGATGATGACGATAATGATATTCAACACTCATTTTCCTTCATCCACAATATATATTTTCTAATTCAGGCAAGATAACTTAAACAGGAATATGTTACAACAAGCTTACGAACAGAGAGTGATACATACCAATTTTTCATGGGAAAAATACAATATCTTAATATACCCTTGCAAAGCATGTATCTTAAATACATTAGTGAGTAAGAAGTACTTACATTGGTTGATAGTTGACTGGTTAAAGTAAGAACTTTCTCCTGAGCATCTTGCAACTCTTTCCTCAGTTTCCGGATTTCATGGGCTTGTTTTTCTTCTGCTGTGCTATACAGAGATGATGCCGTGGAGACTAAGCTTACTGATGAACCATGAACTGTAATAATTAATACATGTTTTTAGTACATTGAAGTAAGTGCAATGAACACAAATGCACATAATAATGCTAAAATACCAATGAGACATACTTACTCTCATCATCCTTTGAATTTGTCTTTGTAAGAGGACCTGAGTACGGAGACATGCCTGTTCTTCCAAGCATGTGGCTAGAGGCAGATGAAGTGATTGGTGAAAGAGGATAATTGAACCTGAAGACGAATATATTCACATATAAGACAAAAAGAAACCTGTCAGCAGCAGAAGAAATGCAGACTGACAGGCGAGGAAGATCAAAGTACCTGGTAGGAGCACCCTGTGAGACTTGGCTGGGGGTGGGGCTGGTGGGCTGAGACGTGTGCTGGCTGGAAGGCGACGCTCCGATCGGCACACAGTAATATGGCTCCAGTTCCTCAGAGCGTTGCAGCATGGACGGATACAGCTTTTCAGATTTAGTGGATCTGAAACACAGAATGAACATTCTTGCTTGAAACCCATTGAAAAAAAATAATTAAATGCAGTCTTTTTTTGTTGTAAACATTTTCTCTGAGAGGCAAAATTTTACTTCTTTAACTTCGTGTGTTTCTCTGTTAATTTACAAAACACACTAGTTCTAGCTACATTTTTTCTGATTCCAACTAATATGTTTCGTCTAGCTGTAATAACAAACAAACAGCACCAAAAATAGTTATAATACTACACGCAACAATGCACACACCATCAACAGGACAAACAAAAGCAGATACATAATACAATGCAACTTCAAGAACATGTATTAGTACAACCAATAATAATTTAATAAGGAAGTAATAATATTACACAAACTAATGTAAGTTCAAAATGTACATATTTTGTGTAAAATTATGCACATTATGCACACATCTACTTATTTCAGGATCCTTCGAAATACAAGCAAATATTAAAAATAAAATTTTGTTTTCCAATGCAAAGAATATGTTTTATAAAATATAGATTCCTTTTCTAAAGTAATACATTCACACAACATATTGCATGACAAAAATGCACCGAGTAATATCTTCAAACCAAAATAGATAATGCATTAAAAAAACTGATTAATGAAACCAACTGATGCACATCTAAACTAAATTTTATCTGATTTCCTATACTACAAATACAAGAAAAAAATATCAGATTTTTCGCCAATTTTTTCGTTAAAAACTAGTTTTATTACCCTACCACAAAATGGTTTAACACAATTGTAATGGTAAACTAGCGCCTACAGTAATGAAATTCATGGTTCTGATTAGACTATTTTTCAACTGAGTAAAGAAAATATATAAAAATGTTTTAATAAATATTACATCATGAAATAATATTTATTATTTTCTATGACATTAACACAGAAAAAAGTTTATAAGAAGAAATTTCAAGTACCAATGTGTTTCTAATTCTACACAATTTCTGACATTAATCTATATTGTAGTTACATACACAATAAACATTCAATTTTGTATGAAGATACTAGTATTTGTATTGTTTCTGAAGAGACGAGCAAAGAAGAGTTAACCATAATAACTACCATGCTGAGAATTTACTACTTTTTTCTTGGATCCTGAAATTCCGCATGCATAATGTTCTCACATTAGCACAATACACTGCTCAGCAACAGCAGACAAGAACACAAAAGCATCATTAGTTTGCCTACATATCTGAAGTCAAAGATCACACGTGAAAATTAATAAAACCATTCTCAGGTTGAAATATTATCCAGGTGTTTCATGCAACATTCTGCAAGTGTTAACAAAAGCACAAAAAATTGTTACATTTGGGCATATGATATAATGATAAACAATTTCAAACAAAATTTGATTGGGAATACCTCCAAGGTAACAGAAGCATAGTTTTTCTGGCCCTTAAATAACTAGGGTTAGTATTAGTTTATTTTTCTTTTAACCAGCCATACTTTCACAGCACAAGAAGCATAAGTGTTTAGCAATAGCACAGACCAACACAATATTCAATGCATGGATTCAGCATTTCTGGTTGACAGAATGGGCAATGGACTGTGAAACTTACCAGTTCCTTCAAATACCTAATATATTTAAACAATTTAACCCATCCAAAGCTCACATAGCAAACCAGAAAATTCTGAACATGAATTGCAATACTGATGAATTTCCATTCAACAGTGCAGGCAGCAATATAGTGTTTACGAAGCACAGGTAGTGCCCTTACAATACCTTGGAAAAGTCCGTTCCCTGATATGGCTGCAGGAAACATATATTTGTGTTAATGGGATGAAATTTTCCTGCAATGTTACTTCTGTGTGATTGTGTCCAGAAGTTAAAGTGCAATATTAATCATACCCTAATTTGAAAAACCCAGAAGTATTTTTGGTGACTTTCCTTGACCTAAGTGTTTCACAATGATTAACATAAGAAACAAAGACTACCAACTATCACTAGAATTTTTAGATTTTCATAGATTTCTCTTTTCAAAATTTCAGAACACTCAAATATTATGAATAAGAGAGCAATGATTGCACTGGGACACAATAAACTCACTTCAATTTGGAGCTCTAGAATTGAAATTAGGTTCTACAGTGAATATCATTTATTTCGACCTTGTCAATTCCATTGTTATATGTCATATTGTTTATAAAAATTGTGTTTGTTATATTTTCCTAAGGTTGTTATTACAACCATAGTCATTATATCCTATGCAAAAAGGGATAAAAAATCAAATTAATTCAACAGAATTGATTAAAAAAATACATATAAAATAAAAACCAAACAATAGTGTTCTTTTGTTTAAATCAGGTATTCTGTTTTTAATTTTTTTCTTTTAGTTTCCCTCCAGACTGATGCAAGTAAATAATAATTTTAGAGTAGCCGGAAGTGCATACATTTAAATATTTTGAAGAACTCAACTCAAGAAATTTCAGCTGAATTTCAAAATATTTGTAAGTGAGATATTTGTAAATTTAACATGACATATCACATAAAATTAAATGGAATTGCTAGAATCATTAAAATACAATACTTATAGAATACATGAATACCAAACATGCATTCTCTCCCTAACTTCACTTGTTATTACTTCCGAATCACTCTGTTTGCAGAGTAATAGACTACAAAACTGTTGAACTTAAGAGTTTCTATATTTCATTTAGTTCTGCTATAATAATAATACATGTGTGCCTAAGCCAAGGCTTTTTGAACATTTACCCTGTACAATACTCTCCTTAGCCTGAAAACTATTCAGTGATTTTCCCATGCATTAGTCATTGCATCTCACCTTCCCTCTTCCCTCCCAGCCAAGAACCATCGCATAAAACTGCTTGGTAACTGCAATGACCCAATTCAAAGCCACAAAAAGAATCAAATTTTCCTGATCTCTAAAAGGAATATGGTGAAATATTAATGCATTCCACTCAATGCTTAATCTTGGAGATCTGACCAATTGGGTTGCAAGAAATTGAAGTACAAAGTTTGATCAGTCTCTATAACAGTGGATGTCACATCCAGTAAACTTGTTGTGCTTCTAAAGCAGATATTTTCTCCCATTAATGGTAATACTACATAACATTACAATATTGGGACTTTTATTCTACTAATACTTCAAGGTTTGGTTGGAAATCTCCAAACCAAATTTTGTCCATGAGAAAAAAGGCTTCCTATCTATAATTTTTGAAAATGTATTTTTTAATGCTATTTTTGAAAATGTATTTCCACTGTTTGTATTATGTATACAATTCAGAAACCACAAACTAAAAATAAATAACCAAAGCTTGGAGAATCACCAGACCTGACAGTTTCATCATGAAATGTTGTTACAACAATCAATGGCATAATAAACAATAACCAATGCAAAGTGAACATGGCTTCATCTAAGTATGCATAACTGCAATAAAGAAAACAAAACAGTACTTCATGACAAGAATATAAAAACTAAAATTTGAAGAGGGAGACAAATTTTGTATTCCATTTTATACACACTAACACATATATTCATTTTTATTAACATCTATTTTGTGTAATATTTATTTTTAAATCAGGAATATCAATAAACAAGACAGTGAAACTTTATTTTGTCAAATCATTAAATTGTCCTCATCTAATCTATCTACATTTGAAAGAAAACATACATGAAATATTTTTATCCTTACAACAGTGTTAAAGTTGTTACTTCTTATACCTATGATTCTCTAGTCAAATGTAATATCTAACAAGCTGGAAAAAATTGTTTTGTTATCAAAGAAATTGATCAAGTTTGAAACAGTGCACTTAATGACAATTAATGAGGTCATCCACACACACCACATCCAATTAGTTGCAGGTTAAATCAAGTTACATAATATTAATTACAATACCTAATCAATTTCATCATAGAATAATTACACACTTTTAAACTACCATATAACAATTCCAGAAACAAATCTTGCTTAGTTGTCCTGTTATCAGAATGGTTGCAAAAAGGCTTATATAGCCATCATCATATATCACTTAAAGAAATGTCATCATGTAACACAGGAATCTTTCATTTTCTACAGTCCTCAGAAAACACTGTTTCTCTCCACCCGAAAAGGTGGATCGAAAGGCTAACACCTACAAAAGGAAGAAGTCCTCACCTGATGCTGTTGCTGCGGTTAAGTCTAGGCACTGGGGAGGCACTGCTCTCTCGCTGGTGCATCAACAGTCGAGCGTGTGTCAGGCTGGCCCTGTGTTGCAGCTGGGCTGGCAGGGAGCACAGAGACTCCACACTATCTGCTTCAACAAGGCCAGCGGCTGGGAGCACACACATCAATACTCGTAATGAAAACACTACTAGAGCAGTTGTACATTAAACGGAATACTTAAATAGGATTTACCAAAAACAATTAGATGTAAGACGTAACTAATTTATTTAGCATTAGAATAACAACAACACAAACACAAAACTTAATGCATCAGATACAAACCACTAAACAAGGAAAAGAATGCCTAATCTTTTGTGTGGCCAGTTTTTATTTTAAACAAAAAAATGTTATTACATTTCACTACATTATTAACTTTTATTTTCAGTAATAAGATAATCTAATGGGTATTGTTAAGAATTCATTAAAAATCCAAAGAACAAATACGATTCAAATTTTGCAGTTCAGCTGTCAGTTGGTTGCAAAGTGGCTAACATAGCCATCATCATGACTCATTAAAGAAAGTTTCCTCATGTTGCTGAACAAAGAAAACTCAAGAGTAAAAATTATTTGGGTTTCAGTGCGAAGCTATTTTCAATTTCAAAACGATAATTTATAAAGTGTGGAATGTTTGCTTGAGTCCAGCTAGCTATTTATAATTAATGAAAAATATTTATAATTAATGGATTATTTATTTCCTCATAATAGTTATGATCCTCAGCTAGGTTAGAACCAAGCGAGAGGGAAAGTTTGGGGAAGGGAGCTAAGACCACTATTATTTGAAAGCCACGAGGTAATGTGAATAAATTTCACAGTTTCAATTGAAATAAATAATGTGAATAGAGGATATTATGACCTTTCACATCTCATAGAGAGAGAATGTAAAATATATATTGTATATGGGTTCCTTAAATATTAGCTTCAAAGAGACCTGTCAGTTTAGACTTGAAAGTTTGATCTCCCCACAGAAATTTTTAGTTGTGAACTGAATTCAGCAATCAGTTGGTTGCAAATTGGCTAATACAGCCATCATCATGACTCATTAAAGAAAATTTCATCATATTGCTGAAAGTTTAAAAAGAAATCTGCTGAAAAATGTTTACAGTCTAGTAATAAAAAATTATCATATGAGGGAATGTTAATTAGATAACTTACAATAATGTAAATATACTGCAGTTATGTTGAAGCCAGCACATAACTAGACAAGAGTGGGGGCAAATGCCATTCTGAATTAAAAATAATTTGACCAGATTGTTAATTAATTCATGTTTTGCCATGGTTTTGCAAATATGTTTTTTATTTAATATTTTTTAGCAAAATAGTTACCATAAATAAATAATATCCTAGTTTTCTTCCATTGCATTAATGAGAGACTATACATCAATATTTCGTATTATTTATAATTAATGGAATGTTCATTACATAATTGTATTTATCCTCAACCATGTTCTAAGCTACAGGGAAGGCTTGGGGGACCACTATTGAACTCAAACCTAATCCTGTCTGGCATTGAATTAGTTTCAGTTTACTTTGATATTGATAGACACGAGATAAAGTGAATTAGTTTCAGGTTACTTTGATATTGATAGACACGAGATAAAGTGAATTAGTTTCAGTTTACTTTGATATTGATAGACACGAGATAAAGTGAATTAGTTTTACAGTTGAATCATGAAGTCAATTGAAATAAATGATGCGACAGAGAAGGAATGTAAAAAATGTTTCATAAAACTTTGATCTCTTCCAAAGAAATATTTGACTGTGGCACTGGATTCAGCAATCAGTTGGTTGCAAATTGGCTAAAACAGCCATCATCTTTACTCATTAAAAGAAAGTTTCATCATATTGCTGAAAGTTTCCAAACTGAAAAACTTTAACTAACAATAAAAAATTATCATTTAATGGAATGTTAATTAGATAACATACAGAAATATAAATACACTGCTGTGTTCAACAAGGCACATATCTAGGGGGAGTGGGGGCTAAAGCCATTCTAAGCTAAAAATAGTACCAAATTGTCAATTAATTCTAGTTCATGATTTTGACATGTTTTTTAATTTAACATTTTTTATAAAAATAATAACTGTAAATAAATAATATCCCCATTTTTTTCCTATCTCATTAAATGAAAGACTAGGCATCAATATTTCATAATCAGGTTACACTTTTTTTAAAAGTCTGCATAATTTTCATCTTGAATTTTAGAACTCTCCCCAAGAGAGATTTTTAGCTACGATAAAAATGTCTATTAATTGGTTGTAAAGTGGCTGTCATATTCATCTTTGTGATTCATTAAATAACATTTGTATTGCAGAATTGCATTTAATTGTATTGCAGAAATCTAAAATTTTTTTCACAATGCTAAATTGCAACTTCATAGAATTTTATTTCTACACTAATTACATTCTGAATTATGCAAAATCAAATGCAGTATTAAATAATAACTGGAATAAAAAGTACATACCAGCACTTGTCCGAGCAGGAAGAGAAGCTGTGTAAGTGGAACTGTGCCGAAGCCACGAACTGTAAGGACTTCCAGCCCCATAATATCCACCACCATGAAGCTCTGAATAATTCGAATATGTTGTATCTGAGAGAGAGCCATCGGTAGGTTTAAGGGGTCGAGGTGGCCCACCAACACGGTGCTGATGGAAGAGAGCAGCGTACTCGCTGGAGCCAGGCTTCGGCAAAGACTGTGAGCCAAGTAACAGCCTGTCCCGAACACTCTGAGACAGCTGGCTAGCAGCTGGCCCTGTTAAAGAGAATGACTTGAAATGATGCTGGGGTTGCTGTTGATGCTGGTGTTGTTGAGACTGCTGGTGATGAAGTTGCTGTTGTTGCTGTTGATGGAGCTGTTGTTGATGCTGCTGATGTTGATGTTGATGCTGTTGATGCTGCTGATGCTGCTGCTGCTGTTGTGACTGCTGCTGGTGCTGTTGATGTTGCTGGAGTTGCAACAAATCACTTGTACACGTTTGTGTACCTCCAGATACTTTGATCTGTAGATTTTAAAATTAATGCACAGATTAGCATTAGCTGTCTTTAGTTTTAGTAGTCGACTGGTAAAGTTTTTTGTCATGAGAAATATAACTACTATATTTCATAAGAAACATCACAGAATTTAAGTAGCTTAAAATTACATTAAGAATAAAATTTATTGCTTTAATTTTGGAAACAAGAGCAATCACTAACCTTTGTTCGAGGAACAGCTGACACCTGAGCAGTTCTTGGCTCTCCTTTACTTCCACCAGTGCCATTTGTGGGTCTTTTCACATACCCAAAACTCTGTGGAACTCCGCGGACTTTGCCGCTCTTGCCTTCTCCCCCAGCACGCATGCCCACAGGAAGGTGTGGGGTGGTCCGTTCCGTTTTAGGCTGCCTCTCCCCATTGACATATTCCTTCTCCTTGCTGTTCACATCGTCCTTCACACCCATTTTACGATGTCTCTCCAGATTCTTCTCAGGCTTTCGACTGGGCCCATTGTGGCTCGTGCTGATACTGCTACTGCTACTGCTGCCTGTAATGCATGGGCTTGGGCCCAACGGCCTCTTCTCTCGTACCTTCACAGCTTCCAGTTCCCCTTTGCCTGCACGGCTACTTTCCACATATTTTTTCCACTGGTTATCGGTGATTTGCCTGCAACAGGATTTTTCAAATATTTTCTTTATTAAGAATACTGGCAATAAAAAAAAAATTTAAGTGTCTCATTAACTCACAAATGTACCTTCTCTTTACTATATAAATAGAGTATTAAAATACTAATATAACATACATTCAGTAAACAAATATTACAACAAATTATGGCTTGACATTGTTTTTATCTTTAATTTTTCTTCACATACAATTTAAAAACACATTTTACTCCATTGGAAAAAACCAAATTCAATAAATAGTAGTTTTCAAAGAAAAATATGTGTAAACAATTAATATCTATCATCCCCCCCTTTCTTTTTTTTCCCTACTTTTTCTTCTTTCTTTTCTTTTTCTTTTGTGAGTATGGCTTGAATACAAGTAATACCTCAAGGCACTGTAGTCCGTCTGTTGGCCACTATCAGATTTTCTAGCCTGAGATCTTGAACTAACAACTCTGTATACCACTTGAGGACACTCCGAGGAATTGAAAGGAGAGTTAGCAGTCTTCTGTGTATTTTGTGACTTCCCACATAGTCCTGGCCTATTATTTTGTATCAGCCTCTGAAAAAAAGATAAGAAAATGAGAAGAGTTTCTTCACCAATGAAAAAAGCATGTTAATAAAAGTTATAATCTCCTACAAAACTAAAGTGTTTTAAATCGGAGGAAGACACTTGGCAATCGTAATGGTAAGAAAATTCTCCATTTGCTTTGTAATTTGAAGAGAACCTAAAAAGCAATGGTCTCAGCATATGCATCTAATGTAAGACAAGAAATAAATTATTTTAAATGGGTGTTCTTCAGTCAGAAATATTACTTTTATTTTTTAATAGATTGCACATTCAATTTTTGCATATTCTTCAAATGTATTATTATTTATAGTACGTTAGTACAGTTATTTATAGTATGTTTAAATTAATACTTTTTGTTAGGTTCAAGATAAAATAACAAACATTATTTCTATTTCACATTTTTTAGCATCAAAAGAAGTTACCTAATTCAAATTACTTTAAGATTTGTTACCCTGACCAGGAACTCAGGTCTCCTGGTTTATATGCAGTTGCTAGTAAGTCCAATAGTAGTACAGCAACTGGGTCACCAATAGTGGACCAAAAGATTGTCACCCTGTTCACGAATTAACACCGGGTCTCCTGATTAACACACAGTTGCTCTACTACTATTGGTCTTATAAGCAACAGGATGTAAACCATAAGCCTGATTTCAATTTCTAGTCAGGGAGACTATTTTTGGAACAATTTGTATTATTTAAATAGTCGTGTTACATAGTAACATGGTAAAGATCAAATCATGAAAGACATTTACTATACCTAATTACTAAGCAGCTATATTTCCAATATATAAACCTATCCAATAATGTGATAAGGTGGTGACAATTGAATGAAGTTACCTTGTTAGGATTAGAAGGCAGATCTTCAGGAAAGAAATCTCCTGCTGATTCTGATACCCCACTTGAGATTGAACTTGTGTCATCGAAGCTAAAAAAAGAAAATAAGTAAAATATCGTGCAATCGGCACTAATTTCCACTAAAAATATATTTTGATGTCAAAACATACTTCATTATTTAATATGAAAATAGAATGAAATACCATAACAACTGATAAAAGCATTTTATCACTTTTCTGGAATTATTAGTATTAGATAAAGTATTGTATAAATTTATTCAAATAAAATTGAAGAAATAACTTAATTATTAACATTAAGAGCAATAAAATTAATTACTATTAGGAATAATTCATGAAAAAGAGTGAAGTACTAAATACATAAAAAATAATGAAATAATGTTTTGATTCTTCCTCTCTAGAAAACTCATAAATGCGATTAAGACTGAATATCATTCATGTATCATTGACACAATACTTTCCAGAAAATGTGACAGTTTAGTGAGTTATCAAATTGTATAATTTTGTTAGAAAATCAACTAAAGGAGCAAAGTGAAATTCATTTCTCTAGCTCTTGGCAAACAATATGATTACAAAACACTCTTTAGTTCTTGAGTTCTAAACGAACTTTAATTAGGTAAAGGAAACCAAATCTTATGAAAGTTACAATTAGTAATTAAAATAATTTTTCATAATTCTGGATGTGTAAGTTAAACTACTTCACTGAGAATATTCCAAAATTATTTGAAGAGTTAATCTCATGCACGACATTACAATAAAAAAACAAACAAAAAACAAAAACACTAACAAGCAATTTCATGTAAAAATTCATCTGTTTAAACTTTGTACGATGCATTTATGAAGTAATTTGACATTAATTGCCTAAATGATTCAATATCACTAATTTCGCATATATTTACGACAAAAAACATGAAAATTTACATCCATTAATTACCACAGCACATCAATTCAAGAAAACAGTATAGAAACAATCACAGAGTTCAATACACAATATAAAATATATTCCAGATATGTATATATACATACCTAATTACATAATCTAAATATAGAACCACATCATATGTCACAAATAAGTACACCTATCCAACAGCCAAAACATCAAACAGCTAGCCTTTTGTGAGGATCATGCAAAATAAGCTGCAAGCCATGCCAGGAAAGACTCACCGTTTGGCCCCAGGCTGTTGAGGGGGGTGCTCACGACTTGATGACTCCGAGCTGCTGTTGGGGAACCTGCTTGAACAGAGAGAGAGCGCCGTGGAACAAGCAAGCAACAATCTGACAGCCAAGAAGCTGAGTGGTCAATGCAGAGTACTCCATGCACAGGCAGTGTTGTTCTCTTGAATTATATACTTAGTTTCCCTACACTTAGTCATAAAAATAAACACCTGCCTGCAATAAACTACTGTGAATTTTTTTAATTAATAAAGATCACCAAATAATCTATTTTATGCAAATGAAGCTAACTAATCTACAGCTGCTACTTATCAGCATAATAAAAATGTTCCTGCATTTCTAGAGAAAACATAGAATGTACATTTCAATACTGTCTGAAGTGATCTAACAATGCATCATGCCATCATGAAAGAACTCTTCTACAATCTAATTTTTTATTTCATTCAAAATTAATAAATTTTCTTAAAAAGGAAAAATAAAAAAAAGAAGTTTAATAAGAAAATGATGAGGTACAAAATAATAAGAAAACAACAACTTACAGTATACTTAATATATATAAAGTAAAACCTTGTCATTGATTATGAAAAAATTATATTAAACAATAATTACAACACTTATTTTTAAGTATTCATTTCAGTATTCCAAACATTTCAGTCTACTCATGAAATAAAGCCTGCCATTATTACCATATATAAAGCATGCAAAATGACAACAAAAAAAAATTAAAAACTCAAATCTACTTATCTATTTACTTTAATATTCAAACATTGAGAGTTATTCCGACATTTTTTTCTTCAGATTAGTATATTCTCTTTTCAGTTCCAATAATTAAATTGATTTATTGAGACCATTATTGAGACCGTTATTTATTGAGACCTTGCTAATGCTGCATAAGAAATTGTGTTTAAATTATTACTAAATATGATTCTCATTCATGAAGGACACATTAACACCCCAATTTAATTCCTTCAACAAGGCACAAATTCATATTCATTATCAGCTACTGTAGGGGTGTTGAAAATATATTACACAAAGGAAGTTTTGAATTGTTAGAAACATTATCAAATAGCATGTAGACCGTTATTTTCTTTTAAACCAAAATAAAGTACTATTTTTTTACTAAATACTATTTTTCTAATTTTGGTGCAGTAACACCTATTCCATACTACACAGAATGCTACATTAGGTTACTGGGTTATTTCATTACAATGTTGCAGGGACACACATTCAGTGCTTTAAGAATATAGAAACGAAAATAACATTCACACGCAGAGTGATTATTCATAACGAGACAATATTCTAATAACAAACAACACGAGAATTTCACCACCATTCAAGGACAATAAGATAATCGTTTTCTCTCCGAGCTTAGTGTGGTGGGGCATAACTCGTTTTGAGGATGTCGCAGAGGCACGGTCGCGGAAACATACAATTCCATACTAGGCAGCAAAGAAAGACAGGCACACTCGCCCACTTACGTTCACGCACAACGCAAATTAAACAGCCAACGGGGACTGGGGTGGTCGACGACCAGCACAGTTCCACAATCCCCCAAAGACGAGCCTACTCCACCACCAGCCCGACAGCCGAGCCGAGGCAGGGCGAGGCGGGACGAGGCGCAGGG